AGATACTTGCCCAAAGTATGTTCGTACCAAATTTCAAAACTTGAACAAATGTGAAGGCATTTTTTCCTTATCATAGTCTATGGGCACAAATGGGTTAATATAGGAATAAAAAGATTCAGAAAAACAGGCAAAATTGATTTAAAACATCTATATGTTTATGTCAGTTTGGTTATTACAGTCGGAGCAGCCAGAGTTATAAAGCAGTTTATGTTTCACTTCATTCCTGATGCGGACCACTGTTTTGTAAAGGTTGTATTGTGTTATGTGTGTTGCTCAATCTGCATCTGGAAGTGCTAGAATGAAAAGTTGTGCTTTCCCTGTAATAAAGTTTGTGAAGAGGCAAATAGATCAAATAAGAAGATTTTAAGTGTTGGCAAAATAATACGTTTAAAGTTGATGCTAATACATTTCCTGGCAATTGAAAAATAGCCTTTTTTATCATGTTAATTAAAACTATTCTGTCTTTCTGTGCCTAAAAAGCAAAACTGAGAATTAAAAATGATGCACACTCACAGATAAAATATCAAGAATCAATATTAGAAGCTCTCAAAAAGCACAGCAGCAACACAATAGTAATATCTCATTATTGATTTATCCTCTCTGGGGAGTGATAGATCCTGTGTTGCCTCCTACAAAGTCAAAAAGAAGTAACTTCAGTTGTAAATTATATCAACATTTAGGAATTTAAGACAGAAATATGTCCCCCTGGAGTCAGTTAATCCAGATTTATGCACTATAAAGCCTTTTCGAATATCCCTAGTATTACATGAAAGCCAGTCATGAGCGAACAATGACGTGTTATGAAAATATTCACAGTGGAAGTGATGCAGTCATCGCCGACTGCAGTATGCAGAGTGCACTTTGACTCCTCCAGATGCTGGGTCCTGCAGCGGGACGGGGATCAGTGACGCACAGAGGTCATCCCTTTTCACTGAGGGATGATTCCTCAGTGAGGTCGCGGGTCGCTGTATGTAAGCCTGACAGCATTGGGGTCAAGCTTTTTGCTCAGCATTGGTTTCCTGAACATACAGAGGGATTACAGTCCCGACATCAAGAGAGGAGTGAGGTCATTCTGAGCTCTGCAGATAATGTAATGTGTGCATCTGCTGCCCACCCTCGCTACACCAGGAGGCAGGAAACAAGCGACACAGTTTGTTCTACAGGAGAGATTGAGCAGATTAGTGCTCGATTTCATGCTCACACTGTTTATGTTGTGAATACTTTTTCATCAGGGGAACAACATCTGGTTCTTTTTTTCCTCTAAAGTAGCTGTTGAGGTTTTAGCATGTTTCATTTCTTTTTCTTTTTTTCAGAAAAAATGGCAACTGTCAGAGATTTGAGTTGCAAAATACCTATTAAAAAGATACTGTAGATCACAAACAGTTCAAACCTCAGCTGTATTTTAAGTTGAAGTCAAGGTGTTACAGTGTCTAAGACCAGTAAATAAATCCATTTTTGGAAATGCAAATAAAATTGAGCACATGACAACCATTTTATCTGTATGTGCATCCATAAAGAAACATGTTGTCTAAGGTTTGAACTTAATGAAATCTTTACAACTGCTTAAAAGTTTAAACACAACAAAAAAGTTTACAAAGTTAAAAAACATCAGGTTTATTGTGTAAACAATGATACAGTATTTTAACTTAAAGGAATGTTAAAACTAAAGTAAGATTTAAGGTAAAAAAATCATTTGAGTGGTTAAAAGAGCAGAAGAGCCCTTTAGTACAGTCCTGTAGGATGATAGTGTCCATCCCCAGCTCTCAAACATCCATATACATACTGTATACATACTGACTTTTGTCCTTATTTTGTCTCCAAACCTGGTTAGAATCCATGTGCAGTATGAAAATAGGACACAGCCCTTAACTTTGCATGATGCAAAGGGTGTTTAAAATGTAGTAAGTGAAGTTTAACAATGGAGGACATGCACAGAAAACCATGTCAGAATGTCAGCATGCTTTATTTGTGCTCTGTGTGTAACCCCCCACTCCCTGACTCCTGAAGTGTCTGGGTCAAAGTTCAGCCTCCAGCTCTGCTTCTCTCCTGCTGCTAACGTTGCTAATTGCTGCCCTCTGCTGTCCCACAGTAATCTCAGATAATGCACCACAAGAACAGATGAAAAAGGAATGTTGAAACACATGCAGCTGAAACTTAAGATGTTCTTTTCTTCACATTCGTCATGTCTGCAAATACGCACGATGGTGGGTTAGGGTTAGGGTTAGGTCACCTGCACACACGGCGGGTGCTTTCATGCATCAGCAGAGATTATAAACCCTGTCCGCTGTAATAATCCCGCCTAAATGTGTGACACAGAGGAAGACCGCTGCTGTAATCTGCCTAGATTGTTCAGCAAAATAATAGGGGGTCTTACATTTGAGAGAGAAATGTCTTTCACCTCGTCCTGTGATTATAAAGCCTTCTGCTAGCATGTTAGCATTTTCTGAGTGGCTTTTTAGCCGCGCTCTCTGGCCTCTGTTTAGCCAGATGGCTTCCTCCGTCAATCCCCACTCACAATCAAGATTAAGATTACACACACGAAACATGCACTCAAATACGCCACATACACAGTAATTAATGTTCACTTGCTCGCAGATGATATAACAGAGAGTCTGTCACAGTTGCTGAGTTACAACTGAAGCTTAAGTTATTAAAAGGGAGCCATTGAACGCAGAAAATTCAAGGTTGAAGGAGTGGCGCGGATTAAAGTATTTTTACCACAAAGCCACGTATCCAAGAGTGCTCAGCTGAAACAGAGAGGTGAGAGACAGAGGCAGAGGAGGAGAGGATGGACGGAGGGAGGGGGGAGGATAGTGGAGAGACAGATTGAAGAGGATAGAGAGAAAGCCCTGCTGTCACCAGGCTTGTTTAGTGTTTCTCAGTCTGTAGCAGCAGTCGATACCTTCCACCTTCCCTTCCTCTGAGGCCTCCGAGGCGCTTGTTCTTCGAGGCCTTGGGGCCGCCCAGCATGTGGCAGGCACCATGGGCTTTCTGGAAAACTACCAGGAGATCGATCCCGTCACTTTGAACCTTTGCATCCTCATTGCCAGCTACGTTATCTTGCTCCTGGTCTTCCTGATATCGTGTATCATGTATGACTGCCGGGGCAAAGATCCTACCAAGGAGTACGCCGCGGACCCGGAGCCGACTCAGTCTCCCATCAGGCTGGTGGTGATGCAGACCTCTCCAGCCCCAGTGGGACGGTGGGACACGGCCAACATGATCACCACCTACCACGAGCCAACGCACTCGGACTTCAGAGAGAAAAAGAGCACGATGGTCTGAGCGAGACTCGGCGGACTCACCTTTGTACATACAGACTCTTTTTTTTGTACGTACGTTTCTTTTTACAACTCCTTGGTTTTTTGGGGGGGACAATGTTAGGATTCGACCTGCACAGGACCAGACTTGCACGGTAAGAGAGAGTGACATGTGTTGATGTCTTTAAGTGCTGTGTGTATGCACGTGAAATCCCTCTTTATCTCAAGCATCTCAAGCCAAAGCCTGCAGTCTGCTGTGGAGAGGAAATGTCACAACTGATAAAGCACAAGGAATAAAGAGGGCATTTTCTGTTGTGTAGTGTTGACAGACAAGAGTGGGAGAGAGGTTTAAGATTTTGGTTGGGAAAACACACACAGAGAAGTTTAGTAGAATAAAGAGTATAATAGAAACTCAGTTTGTCTCAACATATGTGGCTCTTTTTCTAAATGAGGCATTGAAAGACCAACAAGACAAACCTTTAGGTGAAGGAAACACTTGTTGCACCTTGACATCTTTGGACTTTGTTCCCTTTCTCCAACATGTAGATACAACTATTATCTTTACTTTAACTACAATATCAAAGTTGTATTGCTCTTGATTGGCCATTCAGGGATTAATGTTCAACAGTTGGTTAAGTTTGAACCAACAGTAACCTCTTACATAACTGGAGGAAGTGTGATGTACATTAGTTTGACTCACAAGGACTAGGGTATACTAGGGTATAAGCCCGCCTGCAGGGATGGTGTATTTTTGTAGACCAACCTGGAAGTTAGCAACGGTTACTTGACTTCAGTGTCACCGCCACTGAACTTTAAGAGTTCACCGTGCTGACGTTTTCCTCCATAGTCTCACTTAGCCACTTGTTAGTGACTGCCCTTTTTGAAGACGCGTAAAAACAAAAATTCCAGAGTGGGGTATTTACTGACGTATTTTATGTCGTAGAACAAAACATGAGGTTTTATTTTAGGCATCTAACCAAAAAAAAAACTAATTACTGGGTTTTAGGACTCATTCCTGTAGCAAAACTGAGTATTTCAGTTAGGAACTCCTCTATCTCTGCGTTACCGATTTCAAAATCCTCTTCGAAATAACAACAAGCTAACCTACATAGTGAAAATGACAATTTTGTTCCAATTTACCGATCTGTTTCACTTCACACCAGCTTCTGTGATATTAGTTTAATAACGTTCTGCTGGAGGTACATACAGCTGTTAAATCATCCAGTGAGCTCATCCAGAACTAAAGTAGAGGCAGGCTTCACCTCTCTCTTTACTGTTTCCTTTTGCAGGGACAGTTTAATGCCAGAGCTCACCTCCAGTGGTGTAGTGCAGCGTACACCCAGGTATTCAGACTATAAACACTTATTTTTATATCTTAAACATTTCCACGCTGACGGTGAACAGATAAAGAAAATGCTCGAGCTTGAGCACTTTTCCTTTGTCTCTCGTATCTCTCAAGTGCAGATATGGTGTATCAAATCTGTAGAAACATGCAAACAAAGTATTGTGTAAACAAGAATGAAGCACATGATAGCTGTGTTTAACAAGTAAACAGTACAGTTGACCTAAAGCTGCAGTGTAGTCGGTCTGTACGCCTGTTTCCTTACTTCAGGATGAATAAATGGACCGTGATAGATGATAGATTTCTCCTCTAATGCACTCAACATTTATTTCTTCACCCTCTGCCCTTACTTGAATGTTACTTTCATGGTCCTCCTGGTCGTGTCCAAACAGTTTTACAGGTCACTCACTGCAAAGGATCTTGCGTGCAGTCTCATGCTGTAATCTGTGGCGAGTGAGACTGATTAGCTGAGCTATCAGAGCGATCAGGGGGTCTCACGTCAAAGCGGGGGCTTTTGAGCAGATTTACTGAGTTATCTGGATAACTGTGCTGAGAGAAACCACAAAAGAATATCAAATCTAAAATGTGGAACAAAAGAAAAATGTTGCCGGGTTTTACTCAACAGGGTCAAACAAACATTTCCTAGAAACTGAGCTCTTCTGGGGGCAAAAATGATGCTGTTGGTTGAGTTTAGACTCAATATAGCCCAAGCTATATTATTTTACCAGTGAGGTACATTAGCCTAGCAATTCAAACTGTCCTGACAGAGAGTTTTTTAAGTTTATACTGCATCATGTCATGTTGGATACCATTGTCATGTCATGTTGGATACCATGTTAAATACCATTTAAGTCAACATCTAAGTTGTAATTATGGCTAGGAAACAGGAAATGTATCTGTTTTTTGGCACTAAATAATACAAAAGCGCCTGAAAACACACTCATTTAATCAATTTAGTATGATTTTGTCCAAGTTCAGTACTTTTAACCCAAACATTATATAATTGTCTTGATTTTATTCTGGATAATGTGAGCACCTGTGAGTTTTAAACACTTATATGGAGGTAGCGGATGTTAGCAGATTGTAGTTTGTCTTTGAATTCACGTTTGCTTGTGAAATTCTGCTAAAACTGTCTTTGACTTATGTTTTAGCCTCTAAAACCCATCTGATTAATACCACAATATTTTTGATATGAGATGTAAGGATATGGAGAGGCTATACAGGCCACCGAATCATTTCTCTCCGGTTAATTGAGAAACTGTGTCCTGATTATTCAACCGCTCTCAGTTTGCGCTGCCAACGCTCAACACAAATAGATCTCATAGCTCTGAGAACTCTCGCAGTAAACATGGACAGAAATCTGGATGAAGCTCAATGTAATCCTGCTACTTCTGAGAAATGTGCGGTCAATGCAGTAAACGCAGTCTTCGGAAAGTTTGTAATGATGAGCCAGAAAAGATGGTGGACACATTGTGTAAGTAAAGATGATATCTTATCATTTTAAATGCCATTTTACAACACCAAAACAAGTGAAAGTAAGAATTTAAGTCCAAGAAAAGTCCAAGCTTTGCCTCAAAATTTCACCAATGACTGAAGTGTAAAAGTAAAATATCAAACAATGTGCCTCAGGTATTGTATGAATTAATTTAAATATGTTCATAAAAGCTAAATATGAGCAAAATAAAATGAAAAATCTAATAACAAATGTTATAGACCTATGAATTTGGCTTGTTGAATGTCGTCTACCTCCGACATGATGAAAGAAAGAGTTTGATTATGAACATAAAAACAACCTGAAATCAATTCTACTGTAACACTGTGATCCTGCAAGCATGAATGTATTTTATTGGTATTGTTATTAGTATGATCATCATTATCATCATTACTTTCATTATGATGCAGGATTATGATTGTACACATGTTGCACCAGATTTGGTTACACGCTGCTACATAATACAAAAGAAAAACATTTTCTATAGTAATGTAAACAGGTAGACGTCTGTGTGTGACACTGAGCTGTAAAGTGAGCAGAGGAAGGCTTAAAGTTTAAATTATTATTTAAAAAAGGAATTTAAACTTAAAAAAAACAAACAATTTAATTAGCTTTTCTTCACATAAATTAAAGAAATACTGAGGTATCAGCCTAATGTGTATTATACTGAAGGCCTCATGACCCCCCAAGAAGCTTTGACAAACCCCAGGATGGAAACCACTGCTATAGAGAGATACTTGGATACAGCGAAAACACAGCAGCAGTAAAGCTCCTGACCCAAATATACTGTATGGATTTTGAATTCAAGGTGGTCAATAATAATAAAAAGCTGGGATTTTTAAATGGCGTACGAACATTAAATGCCTAATTGATCAGCTTCTGTTTAAGCCAAGTGCTGATTTCCGTCTCCCATACACTTTTACAGTTATTCTTTACTTTACTTCCTTTCTATATAGTAGATTTCCTCTAATTATTTCCGTACCTTCCCAACTGCAGGTAATGTACAGGCAATGCAGGCTAGAATGAGTAAACCAATTACAAAGCTGTTTAACCCCGGGTCACGTGTAAAGCCTCTTTTATTCCCAGGGCACTCCCACCTATAGGCTATATTTTTTAGAAACTCCACTCTTGTCGCCTGCATTTCACAATACAATACATTTAATCTTCAACACCTCAATAGGTTTTTGTATATAATTTCACGAGTGTAAAACCTGCAAAGCCAGTTGGAGATTTTATACTAAAACCTGCACATTTGCTTCAGTCCTACAGTCAACAAGTGTCTCCATACAGTGTTTTTATCTGTGGAGGATCCGTTTTCAGTTTGTGTTCTCGGAAATGATAGGATATCTGGGATTTGAGGGGTAAAGTTGAGGCCACAGAAACTAGGTCAGCATGTGCCTGATCCTCATTGAGTTTGAGGCATGGCTGACCTCTGACCCCTGACTTATCAGGCTGATGAGATAATATTTGTTTGTCAGTGCTGAAATTACACCCACTGGATCCCAACTTTATCACTGCAACCAACACAATGTATGGCAGGAATTTCAAAGGCTCTGTGCAAAGTAAAATTATTATTCTTTTATTAGAAAAAGCAGAAAAACATTTCTGTCTGTATCTGTGAGCATTTGATGGGGGTCAAGCATTAAATGAGATGCATTCAATTTGACAAAATCGTGATAAATGAACTGAAAACATCACAAACTGGCATGGGATGGGCGCCGTAATCCTGCGCAGAGCCACCCCAACCACAGCCCGCTCGCCCTGCTGCCGTCTGCCAAGACATACAGAAGTATCCGCTGCCGTATAACACCAGACTTATGAGCAGCTTCTTCTAAATAATTCCCATTTTTTACTGAATGTAACTGTAATCTTATTACCTCGCTTTTATTCTGTAACTGTAATGTAACACATGAGAACACAAAAAACTCTGTCCAGAAGAAATGTGGTATAAATCACAGGCTGGTCTGGTTGTTATATGTTCTGAATCTGCTTTTCCAAATGTCCTTTCGCAGTTTACTTCTGACTGTCACGAAAACAGATTTAGACATCCGATCTTTCAATTTACTACACATTATTTTGCAGTCACTTCCTCCTGCTTCTCCTTTGTCAGTGTGGAATTATCATCAGGCTTTACACAGCCAGTGACTGCTGGGGTTTTTGGCAGCAGGGAGGACAGACCAGCTGCACAGACTCAAGCAGAGGCAGAGCAGGTTGAATTAAAGGCACATGAGCAGGTTTAAGGCAAAGGCAAGCGTGCAAGTCACACAACAGGAAAGCTTGTGGACTGGGATATTTATGTGTGG